TGGGCACAGGCGGCGGCTGGGGACGGAGCCCAGGGCAGGCACTGCCGTTCCAGAGAGGGGCAGCCGCAGCCCGGGCCTGGGCCTGGCCCTTCCTCCCCTCCTTGTGGAGCCTCTGCGCTCACCTAGCTCCTCTATGGTCACCATGTCGCTGGGCTCAGAGAGGCTCCCCACAGCGTGGGTCTGGTAGCTGCAGCTGTAGTTGCCAGCCCGGTGGACCAGGAAAGTGGCCTCTCTGTCCTCCCCCGCCTTGGCCACCACGGGGGATGTATGGTCACCTTCCCGCCTTAGCAGGAAGGTCACATTGGGCCGGGCCACACGGCACCGCAGGGTGGAGTTCAGGCCCGGTGTGATCCAGGACACAGGCTCAGCGGAGAGCCTGGGTGGGGGCAGGGGCTCTGCGGAGGGACAGGCTCAGAAGGGTGCTCAGCAGAGCTGGACGCCACGCACAACATGGGAGGGGACAGGAGACAGGTATGGGGCAGGACTGGGGACAGGCACAGGGGAAACTGAGGCTCGGGTGTTGGACAACGTGGAAGGCGGCACCCTGCTCACCTGTGCCTGTAACCTCCACGAGGTCGCTCAGCTGGGTCCATCCTTCACCCAGGCCAGCACGGCAGTGGTAGAGGCCCTGGTTGTCCCTGCTCACCTCACCCAGTACAAACTGGTGGGCGATGGCGGGGGTGTCAAGGTGCACGTGCTCCAGGGCCACTCCGCCCTTGAGCAGCTGGAAGTCCAGAGTCGCCAGGCGTGCGCCGCAGGTCAGCTTCAGCTGGGCCCAGGGCTTCAGCGGCGAGGCTGACTCAGCCCAGAGGCTGGGCCGGGTTTCAATCCCTGTGGGTGGAGGGTCCACAGAGTCAGCGGGGAGCTTCAGGGACCGGGCTTCCGGCGGCCCTGGCCCAGCCCTGGACTCACATGTGGCCGCCTCGCTAGCTGGGCCCAGGGTGAGACCTGTGGAGACAGCGCCGCCGGTGGTGAGCCACTGTTCACACCGCTGCCCCCGGGAGCAGGCCGGATGTCTCACCCCAGAGCAGCAGAAAGCCCACAGGAGCAGCCATGGCGCCAACCCTTGCTCCACTGCCGCTGGCGCCTGGGTCGTGTCTGCAGGACAGGCAACCTGAGACCCTGACCTGTCCCGTTTATCCTGCTGGACACTGGAGGCAGCAGTGACATGGGGACAAAGGGTGAATCTGCCAACCCAGTTTGGGAGACTCAGCAGTAATGGTAATCAATAATAATGGATCATTAACACGCTAAATTAACAAAACAATGAAAAAAGAGGTGGCATATGCCTGTCATCCCAGCCACTTGGGAGGCTGGTGCAGGAGAGTAGCAAATTTGAGCCCAGCCTGGGCGACTTAGCAAGATCCTGTGTCAATACAAGAGTTAAAGGGCCAGGTTCTGCCTCCTGCCTCACAAGTGCAAAGACTCAAGTTCTATCCCCATTACCAAAAAATAAAATAAAACTGAAAAAGGACACAGCTCAGTGGTAGAGTGCTTGCCTAGCGTGTGTACAAGGCCCTGGGTTCACATCCCTGCATTGGAAGAGGGTAGAGGATAATCAAATCTCACGGCAGTACTGGCGTCTGTTTCAGGGTGGGTGCCCAGCACCCCCTGGCACCCGTGTGGGGTTTCCTGTCATGTGGGCTGTGGAAAGACCTCACCCAGTCCCATCTGCACTCGGGACACTCTGCCCAGACCTTTGCTCCCGGTGTAGACTGGCCTTCCCCGTGCTCTGCTTGTCAGAACCCCCAAAAAGCAAGGTTCAGGGAACGCCACCCCCACCACCCCCACATCTTCACCACTGAACTTTTCCGGGAAGGCATGACGGGTGCTCCCCGCATGGACTGGCCTGGTGCCCTACACGGGAGGCAGAAGGTGGTGACGGAGGCAGGGTCACCCACACAGCCGCCTCTGCAAGGCCTTTGCCCTCTGGCCCAGCCTGGAGACGGGAGATGCTTGTGCAACCTGGGTTCCACCTGGTAGAGACGGGAACATCTCGCTGCCAGTCCTGGATGTCTACATCCTGTGGTCCTGACAGACCAGGGCGCTGCCTCCCTCTTGGGACCCACGTTGCCATCCTCTGCCCTGTCAGCCTAACCCACACATCCTGGGCTGGGCTCTGGTGCTCAGCCGTGGGGCTGCCACAGACAGGACTGCCAGTCTGACCCTCTGCTGCAGTTACAGCTGCCCCTGTGCTGCCGTCCCACCACTGGCAGCCACCAGGCCATCGGCTCATGCAGAACTCCCCACCGCACCCTCAGAAAATGCACAAGATGGTAAACTTCTGTGTTTTCTGTTTTTTGTTTTTGGCGGGGTCTCCCTATGTAGTTCAGACTGGCTTTGAACTCCTGCCTCAGCCTCCCGAATAGTGCTAGGGCTATAGGCGTGCACTACCACACCTGACAACATCCCTGTTTTTAAAACTTAACATTTTGGTGAAATGTATAAGCATCATAGACAGTTACTGCTCTGGTACAGACCCTGTGTGCTCAGGAAGGGCCCCGTTCTCCCACGGAAGCTGCCTATCCGCCATGACCTTGCTGACATTCCCTGGGCACAAGGGCATTACAAGGAACCCCAAAATACAGAACTTGCCAAGAGTTTGAGGAGACAGTGTACAACTGTATACTCCAGGCAGGATGGACAGCCAGGGGGCCAGCTGTGATGTTATTTTTATTTTCTGCGTGTTTGATGTTGTGACATTTTGAACCCCCCTGAGCTGGATTCATTGGCATGTGTCTGTAGTCCCATCGGGAGCCTGAGGCAGGAGACTGCTCGAGCCCAGGAACTAGAGGACGTGTCTTATAAACAGCAGCAAGCCAGGAGGGTGCTTCAGACCTGGCCCCTACACCCGGGAGACACATTCTGCTGCAGTCCTCCCAGGGCCAGCTTTACAGGACCCCGGGCAGTGGGTGGGGTCAGGGGCCCTAAAGGGTGAGCTCACAGCTGTGGGCCACCCAGTGTCCCTGATCCTCCCAACAAGAGTTGTGGAAGCCCCCTCCCGTTCAAACCCTGCCTCCCATGGATTCTGGCCCACCCTGGTGGTCACTCCCCATCCAGAGGACACAGCAAACGATGCTCACAGCCTCTGCGGAGGAACAGACTCTGCTGAGGCCTGCAGATGGGTTTGCTTTGCTTTGGTGGTGGAATTGAGGATCAAACCCAGCACCTCTGGACTGAGTGACATCCTTAGCCATTTTGTATTTTATATTTTGAAATGGGTCTCCCTAAGTTGTCCAAGCTGGGTTTAAACGTATGATCCCCTTGCCTCCACAGAGCCAGGATTATGGGGATCACAGGTGTCATCGCCATGCCCCATTCCACAAAGTAAGGTTTAACAAAGGGTGCTGGCGTTTTCCACGTTCCCCTCAGGAGCCAGCTGGGGTGGTCAGGGCCAGATTCTGTGTCAGGCAGGATGTGGGGCAGGCAGCCCCTCCTCTGGGCACTAAGGACTCCAGAGTCCTTGCTTTGCCACCAAGACAAACCCTGCAGGAAGCCAGTTGGAACACAGACAGCTGTCGGGCTGGGGTTCCCACACTGAGGGTTGGGAAGGGCTGGAGCTCCAGAGCGGTGTCCATACCCTCTGCTAAGAGCAGGGCTGCAGCTCAGGCTTTTGTCCTGTTGCTGCTGCGTTCCAACTCTGAGCCAAGGTCCTGGTCTCCCATATACCAGGCCCCAGTGCTGGGTGGAGCTGCTGTTCTCAGGCCCCAATGTACACGATGAAGAAAGAGCAGCACCCTGGGCCCTGCCCAGCACAACCTCCAGCACCTCCAGGACTCTAAGCCTGACAACCCCCAAGGGTGGAGAAGACTTGAGGGGCAGACTGACCACCGAAGCATGCTGGGAGCGCTGTGCTGTAGATCACCACGGCGGGGCCTAACTCGCCTCCTCCCGTGAATGGGGCAGGGTCCCATGGAAGAACAGGGGACAATTTGGGCTGGTGGAGCAAGTCCCGGCTGAGAAGAGGACATGCTTTCCTTCCCCTCCTTTCCCCATAAGACTATCAAGTGTGAAGCCCTGCGGGGATGTATAGACCAGCCCCTGCATCCTAACTCGGACCCTGAGCTTTCAAGGAGGGTGGTGGCACTACTGAGCTGAATCCCTGGCCCTCTCCAGCTCTAAATAAACACGCTGCGGTTACCAGGCAGTCCTTTTCTCCCATCAGAAGGAAGGCTCCACCTGGCTTCAGCCTTTTGTATCTCTCTGTCTGCCTTTTCTTCATCCCCCACCGTTCTCCCTCTGTGGACTCTTCAGCTTCGCAGGCCGCGGCAAGGACAGCCACTGATCTCTGTGCCATCTGTGGCTGGGCCATGGGTGGGTACCCTGGGACAGGGTGGGGGTACCCCGGAATGGAGTAGGTAGGTGCCACAACAAAGATACATTCTTGGCTAGACATGGTGGCAGCGCACACAGGTAAAGGCAGGAGGATCACCACAAGTATGAGGACAGCTACATAGCAAGACCCTGTCTAAAAAAAAAAAAAGAATTCACATTCCAGAATGTAAGAGACTTTATTTATGTGGCAAAGGGTTCTTCACAGATGTAGGCATCTTGACAGTAGATCATCCTGAATAATCCAAGTGGGTCCTAAATCCAAAAACAGCTTTTTTGGTGTGTGTGTTTTTTGTTTGTTTGTTTGTTTGTTTTGTTTTTTTTAATGAGACAGGGCTTTGTATTGTAGTCCACGCTGACCTTGACCTCACGATATATCTGAGGCTGGGTTCAAATGTGATTCTCCTGCCTCAGCCTCCCAAGTGCTGGGATTACAGGCATCCACCACCATGCTTGGCTTCAGCAAGTATCTTTGTGAGAGGAAGGCTGAGAACTCTGACACTAAGAGGAGGACATGTGAAATCAGAGGCCGGCCTGGAGAGATGCAGCTACAATGCAAGGAAAACCTGGAGCACCAGAGTTTAAAGAAGCAAAGATCCTGACCCTGAGCCTTTAGCACACACAGCCCGGCCAACACTTTGTCTATACCACACACTCACACACACACACACATACACACACGCACACATGCTGCTTTGAGACAGGGTCTCAGTGGTAAGTTTCCCAGGCTGGGCTTGAACTTTGTTATTTGTTTAGTGTTTTGAAATAGAGTCTCACTATGTAGTTCAGGCTGGTCTTGAACTCACTCGGTAACCCAGGCTGGTTTCAAACTCCTCCCTCAGCCACCCAGGCTACTGAGATTGCAGGTGTGCACCACTGGGCACAACTAGACCTGTGAAAATAAATTTCTGTTGTTTTATGTCATCCAGCTTTCGGTCATCAGCCACAAGAACCTAGAGACTGGCCTAGCATCCTGGATAGAACAGAGCGGTGGGGAGGCTTGTCTGGACCCTGGCAATGGGAACACAGATGACCCCTTAGTACCTGAACCACACTATCCGAACGGTGTCTGGGAAGGGCTTGGCCTCCACCAGCAAGACGAGGGGAGACTGCTGGGCGAGGACGTCTGAGCCACATGCGCGTGCACAGCCGTTCCACGAAGGTCCCACTCCCTGCTCCAGAGGGTAGCACCTCGGCCAGCCTGCTGCAGCACCAGGCTCGGCCTGCGCGGTCCCCACGGAGCCCAAGGCTCGGCTCCCAGGCAGCCTCCACGGTGCAGGGGCAGAGTAGGGCCAGGGCTGCACTGGGGACTGAGGCGAAGGGCACCAGGAGGTCACGGGCACAGCAAGGGCCTCCCCTCGGCGACTTCGGTCCACACCCAGAACGGCCCGCTGGAACTAACGGCTCTATGCCGGGACCTGCCCGACCCGCTGGGGAGGGGATGCAGGCTGGTGGCTGCACTGGACACCCAGAGGCTCCCCGCCTAGAAGAGGGGAGTTCAGGTCCACGCAGAATGCCACTCCCTCACTTCTGGGCTGCCTGGGCGTTGAGGGCTGGGCACCACCAGCCAGAGTCGCGCTGGTTCCACTGGAAAACGTAGTTCAACTGTGTCCGCGCCCAAGCCGACCGGAAAGCCCAAGGAAAACTCCCGGTTGTCATGACAATAGAGTTGGAGGCAAGCCGACCTGCATCATCATCAAGTTTATGGCGCCGGAAAGGGCATGCTTTCAAGCGGGCGATTGGCCAGCAGAAGGATTGATAGGACATGTGCCCA